GCTGTTAGGTTAATTGGTTTCTCTAAATTCTCCTTAGGTGTGTGAGTGTGCATGAATGGTTGTTTGTCCTGTTTGTCTCTGTGTAGCCCTTTGATAGACTGGCAACCTGTCCAGGGTGTACCCCGCCTCTCGCCTGTAAGTCTCGCCCACAGACAGTTGGAGATAGGCACCAGCACCCCTGGCAATCCCAGCAGGGATAAGTGTGATAGAAAATGGATGGATGGATAAATGTTCAGAAACACTTCAGCCTGTCCTCAGGGGGATGACATTAGAGGTGTTCTGTCAGACCTGGACTCACTGAGGTCTGTTAATGAGGAAATCTAGCAGCCAGTTGCAAAGGGGGGTTTTGAAGCCCTGGTATTCCAGTTTTCCCATAAGATGCTGCTGGGCGATAGCGTTGAACTACTATGTTGCAGTGTTTGGTATCAAACAAGGTGCTAGAAGGCCCAAGAAGGCTTCACTAAAAATGACATTTTCCCAGTTAAATTTCCTGAGATTCCCTTAGGATGTGGCCTCAGCCCCCGATGTTACCAGGTCCAGGAAACCTGATTCAGGCCAGGCCAGTCCATTCCTGGTGTTACTTCCTCCAAATGAGTGGGTTTTGTTTAACAGTCCTCTCAGAGTTGTACTTATTTCTGTTGCTGGTTCACATTTTCCTACCATAATGACCCTCTATGGCCTCCCCTCATTGTAGTGATGCCAGTGAATGTCTTATGGACATCTATCCAGCTGCAGCCTTCTCTCTGATGGTTTTGCATTTGCATTACATTTAGGGGCTTAAGAGTTAATTATTCTAAGGTGAGTCATGAGTTTCTATTTTGTTCACAATACTCTTTATTACTAGGACATTGAGTTATGGATTTCATTATAAGCTGAAATAATCAAGAATGACAAGAAATAATAGCTTGAAATATTAAGTTATTTGTGATAAGTTGTTAATGTAAATTTCTGAAAATAGTAAGAAAAAAAAAGATTGAAGTTTTTAAAATATATTCTAGTTTTGAGATGTTCCTTAATGTGATAGGTAATACCTGGGGTCCTGCTAGGTCAGAGAGAAGCACAAGGTGGCGCCTCTTTCTCTTATATGTGAACGAAAACACATCATGACTTGTTGCTCTGAGTTGAAAACATTTTGCAGATGGAGCTTTTATCATTCAGACTTGGATTTGTCAGACCAATGTGACTATTGAAAATAAACTGATTGTTTTGAATTGACCCATCCCTGTCTTTGCTGATTTATAACTCCACATTTCCAGAAGGTCATGTGGAGTCAATCCCCTCTAAAGTGACTGAAACTATCGTGGTACCTGATCAACATCCCCATTATTTCTTTTTCATAGCTCCTTTTGTTGAAATAAATCTTCACAGATCACAGAAAGGAAATGATCAGACTGTTATCCCTGATCCTGCTGAAATAGTTTATTTAATTTCAGCATTATTTATATTTACAGCTCCCCTCTCCCTGCAGCCAGCAAAAAGTTAATATACATTGATGAAATTAATATATTTTCTGAAATTTTCTTCAATGCAGCTTTTTTTCATAGTTTGACATTTTTGTGTGATTCTCAGTATATCTTTGCACTTCATAGCATATTTTAACATCTAAAATGGAAAAATAAAACCTATGATTAAAAAAGGTCTATGCTGGGTTATTGAAATATGTGCAGTTTATTTTTTGAGATGATAGTATATAGATGGATTGATATTAAATACAACAGTAGGAGAATTCCTCTTTATGTTTAACTGTAGCTTATTTGTGTTGTTTAAAATTACACACCGATATGTCTTTATCACAGACAAAATACGGTAAAAAGAAAGGTTTTGGTTTAAAAGCTGAGCTACAATTGTATTTCTCTTAGAGCAAGTTAAAGAATAAAAGCTGTGATAATTGCACTAACCTAAATAATGTGAAACTGGCATGTGGTCTGATAGCTGAAATAAACTTAAAAAGAAAAACCAGAGATACCACAATAGTTTATAGTACTGGATAGTGCACAGCACTGATGTGATAGAGATTGATCAATGTATTATCACAATCAGTTTGAATTTGTCCTGCTGCCTACCTTTATCAAGGCTGCACTTTAAAAAATGAAATAGTCTAGAGATCTGTACTAAAATGTAATTTCTTTTTGTGTACACTTGTGCATACAAAATGACAAAACAAAATCTGTCTAAGTCTAAACACTCTTATAGAAGAAATGCAGCATAATGCTACAGACACAGAAGAATCTGGGCTTTTTCTAGAAGTAGATTCTGCTCTGTCCCTTCTTGTACACGACTCCATTGCTGTATCTCCAGTCTGTTTTCCAGGTGGACACCAAGGTATTTATACTCCATCAGGCTCGGACAGTTGGGTCTGGTCCTAATCTCGGCGTGCGAGGGCCGGCCCTCTTGAAATCATACCGGCCCCAACACTTACTCTTCGGCTGAAGCACCTACCTGTGACTAAATAGCTCAAGGAGCTCAAGAAGTAAAACAATGTTAACAACCTAAATGATGCATGCAGTCTATATAGCTCTTCCTTGTCTTGCACATCCTGATGA